GTGGGTGTGAGTGTGAACAGCTACCATTATCTATAGATTTCATCCTTACCAAAGGAATCATCAGATGGCAATTAATCTCAATAAATTTTTCGAGAAAATTCACAAGATAATTTTATATCTGACTTATATATCGAATTAAAATTAAATTCATATATATAAGTTGATAAATTCAAATAACTGTAGTGTGAACAGCTACCATTATCTATAGATTTCATCCTTACCAAAGGAATCATCAGATGGCAATTAATCTCAATAAATTTTTCGAGAAAAGGGTGGGGTGTGGGTGTGTATTAGTTTAAAAGATTAAAACTACTATCTAGATTTCGACCTTTCTCAAGAAAAGTTAGAATTTTTTTTTGGTATGTTTATTTTTTCATTTAAAGTTCTCTTCAAAATTCTAGAAATTGTTTTTAGCGGTTAGTGTTCTGGGTTGTTTCAAATAAAAGAGTTTTTTTGTCTTCTTTTACCTTTGAGGATTGTCGTGTTAGTGGTCTCTATTTCTGAATATTCTCTGTCGAATATTTTTTTTGGAGTCGATTTGTTGGTACCAGTTGTAGTTGTCATTATTATGGATGGATTAATGGTCGATATCGTCGCAGATAATCAGTCCTTTGAGGAGGTGTCTGTTGATTGTGGTGGTATTGGAATTCTCAAATAGTCGTTGAGACGAGTTTGATCCCAATTGTCGTTACGTTCGGCTTGTCGTTGGGTTTCAATATCATAGTGTTCAAGCATACCTATTTGATGTAATTTGTTGTTGATCATCATCGTTCGGTTCGTCTACTAGAGTATTGCGGTTTTCTTGATAATCCAATAGTCGTCGTTGGTCCCAATTATGAATTCTGTTGAATTCCTGTTGTCTTTCTTCATCGAATGCTTGCATATCTCGAATTTGTTGAGATTGTTCACGCTCATCTTGAATCAGTAATAATTATTCCAGTGCTGCGAATCCTTCGAATTCTATTATTTGTATTTGATCACGACGTTGTTGGGTGGTCATGATTCCCACTCGTACGCTTCTAGTAGATTCTCTTGGTCATCCTCACCACTGTAATCGTCATAATCACCTGGAATTGTTATGCGGGGATGGTAATTCGTTGGTTGTCTGTTTGGATCTTGTTCTTGTTGTTCAAGTCGTTGTAACCATCTCTGATACCGTTCTTGTCTTCTTTGTTGGCCGGGGTGTGAATCGATTCGAAAACAAATCAATCTATCTCTTAACGAAAAGACAAATCAATTTGCTAGTCTCAACTCTTGCTTTTCAGCAACCGATCAAAGTCGAATTTCAGTTAGAAATATAATAATTTCTTTATGTGCTAAATTTAAGAAAATAATTAAATAAACGTAGAGATTTATTTTGCCGACGCGTTTCATATTTATTTTTTATTAAAATATTGAAACACTCTTCAGGGCTCTACATTTTAATTTAGCACAATAAAAATAGGATAAATATAGTTAAAACAGAAGTGAAAACGTAAAAAGAAACAAATAGAAATTTTTAAAGACAAGAATGAATTATTATATGGATTAATATGCACGAGGAATGGCCGGTAATATATTCCATCGCTCGAGCTCTCTTTCTGAGGCGATCCGGTCGTTGATTACTTGCTGTATATGTTCATAATGGCATTCCACCGTTGTTGATCTCGAATCCATGCATGCGCGAGGTGGCCGGTGATATATTCCATCGTTCGAGCTCTCTTTCTGAGGCGATCCGGTCGTGGGTTATTTGCTCTATATGTTCATAATGGCATTCGACCGTTGCTAATGATGGATACATCTTTACGATGGAGTTGAGTAAATTGGGCCACTTTTGTTTGGGAGTTCATTATATTTTTGATTTATTTTCTCTTTCCTGTTCTTTCTTATACCGTATGGATGTTTATATGTTTTCATTCTGTTGTCTTTACTGATATAGTATCGACGTTTATACTTAGAATCAACTAATTTTGTGTATATATCCAAAATTGTTTAGATGATAATATTAAATTTAATAAATTCTTTATAGTAAAATTAAATCCAAAACGAAAAAAACTAAAACTAAATTCAATTATAATTAAATTCATAATTAAATTTAAAGGAATAAATATAATAATCATAATTCAAAGAATAAGTCATTTTATAGTTTGAATCAATTCAGTACTGATTTCATAATTTTATAACTAGATTCAATTTTGAATTGAATTCAAAAGATAATTAGGTATGATAATTTTCACAATTAAATCGAATTTAAAGAATAAGTACGATGATTATACGATTTTAACCAAATCAATACCGATTTCATAACTGTATAATTAGACTGAAGCGAGTATCAATTTTGCAGTTGTTTTCAAATGGATACTAATCTTGTAATTGAATTTGAAAGTAACAGACTTAAATTCAAATTCAAATTCAAATTCAGTTCCATGTTAAAGTCAGATTTTATCCTAAGATCGAATTTCATAACTAGTTCGATCAAATGTTGCTCATTTTGTATGGAATTTTCATTTCTAATTTGACTTTGTAGTCATGTTTTTTAGTAACTTTTAAAACGACAACAATGAGAAACAAAAATAAAAAAGATAAAAATTCAAAAAGGAAAATGATGAATTGGGAAGAATATTAAAAATATTGAAGCTTAATCAAGTTGGATACTGGGATTTTCTGACTTAAACGAATTCAAAATTAATTTCATAATTTTATAATTAGGTTCAATTGATTCGATTTCAAAGAATAATATGATAATTTGATAGTTTGGTCGAATTCAATATTGATTTCATAATTTGGTTTATAGTTTAATTAGTAAAATTGGTAAGTTCAATATTTAAATTATATAATTTATAATTAAATTAAAATCGTAGAATTCATACTTTCTACAAAACTTAAACCAATTCCACAGTGAAACTAAATTTAAAACCGATTTTATATTAAAATTAAATCCAAGACTGATAGATAATTTTATAATTTAAATCAAAGACCAATCAATAATTTTATAATTTAAATCAATTCAATAATTTTATAACTAAATTCAATTTTTAATTAAATTCAAAGAGTAAATAAATACGATAATTCTATAACTAGGTTCAATTTCATAATTATATAATTAAGCTAGATTCCATTTATCTATATTTTTTACAATTAAATTGAATTTAAAGAATAAGTACAACAATTATATAATTTTAACCAAATTCGATAGTGATTTTAACCAAATTTGATAGTGATTTCATAAGTATATAATTGAATTGAAACGAATATTAATTTTATAGTTGAATTTAAATCAATATTAATTTTGTAAATGAATTTAAATCTATTCCAATAAACAGCAATATTTTTCTTATAAGAATAAGAGGATTATCAGCCTTTCGATTTGGTATGAATTAGCCATTTTTTCAGATTATCGGCATTTCGAGTAACAAGTATGGGGGTAACTTCATTTATTGGAGATTTATCGAAGTATTTGTCCCATAAAGCATGGAATTTAATTGGAAATGTCTTCATACTTGAACAATAGGTAAAATGAACGAATATTGACATGTCGTAATTGACAGATAATTTCTCTTTTATAGGAGAATCAATAATTTTTTGACGAAATCTATTGTAATTGATTGAAATTAATGGTTCATTAATATCAAATTTTACTAATACATTATCGAATTGTTCATCAATAATTTTATTTGGATATTTATTCAATAGAAGTGCCATTCTTAATTTTTCACGTTCATTTAGATATGATTGAAAGGTTGAACAATATCTAATGGCACGTA